GAGCATCTAATTGAGTTGTCTTGAACATCAACAGCATCTCTGTTTACATGTTAGCGCCCGACCCCCACCAGAGATCCAATGAAGGAAATGAGGAAAGCAACCGAAGAGCACGGAAGGAGACTTTTTTTTTTTTTTTTTTAAATGCAAAAACGTAAAGTGATGACATCATGACATGGAGACGGTAACTCAAGATGACATCACAAATCAATAGTCTCCGCGGCAGAATTATTGCCGTGACCGCATATGTCCCCTTTCTACTTCATATTTCAAGTGGGATGTCTATTAAAATCAAATATGAGCCGTGACAGCTGGTTTTCAGCACATACCTGTCGGGACTTGCTAATGTGTGTGAGGCAGTGTTCTGTTGCTGATGTTACACGGGATCAAAAAAAAAAAACAATGTCGAACCATCAAAACATTTTTTGTGGGGTCAAGTTGAGGTCATGTGTTGACATTGTGGGGTCATGATAAGCTGTCCACTGTAGTAACCGCTGTCCCCGAAAGGGTTAAAGATATGTATGATACGCAATAAATGTACATTTAAAAAAAATAACAGATCCAAAGTACTTGCGCAGATACACCGTCTTGTAAAAAAAGGAACACACTGTAACTAAACAGCGTATGAAAATGGCATTTCATTGAAAATTCCACCTGACAACTGCTGCGGACTGAATATAATCACACGACCGTGTTACATTCGTCTTAATTCATTTCCTCAAGCTTTTCAGCATCTTAATAGTGCACATTTTCTGCCAGTTTTTAGTAGCGCTGCTCCAGACTTTATGGATCCGAGCTTGCCCACGAAGTCGTTAGAATGCAGACGCAAGGCTCACAACAAAAGGGCTCCGTACCCGAGAGCGTTTTCCTTTCCAATAGCATTTCTTTGTGTGTCCATTATGTCTCTGAATCAGACGCCCCCAGAGATGGAGGCAAAGATTTACTTATTTCAATACCATGTAGGCCACACGCCCTCCAGCAAGGGGTCGCACTCTGGATGGAAATCTGAGGGAAAAAAAAACAGCACCAAAAACCAGACGCGTCCGGTGGGAGTTTGCTAATCATGTTTGCTAAAAGAGAATTTATACTAACTGACTGCCTCATCTTTTTTTTTTTTTTTTTGAAACCTCTCAATGCTTGACTCTACTACTACTCTCAGCTCAAATGATTTATGAACTGCCACATTGTAGGGGAACAGACTTTTTTTTTTTTGTCAACTCAGCATCAATCTGAAACTATGTGATGACCAATCATACAAATAAAAGTACCACCAGGATGAGCTTTAATTAGCCTCATTAAATGCGTCGGAGCCATTTTTTCGCTTATCAGTTGTTGCAGAAAGAATATGGAAACGTGTATTTTATTTGTAGTGTGATACTCGGCTGTTTTTACAGGAAAAGACAACCAAAAAACAAAAAAAACCCACTAACTCTACATTTAATATCAAGATCGTGGCTCAACGGATTGAAGAACAAAACATTTAACTTGCTCAAAGCATATGTGCTCTGACGGTACTTTTACAAGACAAATACTTTAGTTATTTAGACACGAGTATGATTTTTTTTTTAATGTAAAAAATATAATCCCTGTGGGTTGAAAAGAGTGTTTCCACAAATTTTGTGACTGTCCCCATTCCCACAAAAAAACTAATTTTGTGACTTCAATTGCTTTCTGAACAAAAAAAAAATAAGTAATTGAACAGGTATGCTAGTACTTTTCTCTTGAATAATATATTGGAAATCATCTGTCAAAAAAACACATTCTCAAATTTTGTGAGTTTTGATCCAAAAAAAAAATAAAAAATTGGGAGAATTTTGCATGGGTCGATGCTATGCTCGCTAAATTTAGCGATAGCATAATGGTCATCGCCTAAAGATTGCATTTAAGTAGCATAGCGTTATAATCTTGCGATTGCCGTAGTTATCCGTAATGCATTAACAATCGTCGCATCCATTCATTTCTTCTTTTGGCAATTTGCAGCTTGAAGTTTCAAATTTTCAAATTTGACTGCGTAACTGATCGGAAAAATCCTACTTGGAATCTGTGCGTCTCATTCGGGATTATATTCCGGAAATGTACCGAGACAGGAAAGAAGCCTTTAGCGGTGAATTTTGGGCCGGGGAGGGAGATCATCCAAAGATGGAGCAGCATGATCGCCAGAGCTTGGGCAAAGATAACAAGCAGCCAGGAGAAAAGGTGGAGGGGAAAAAAAAAAAAAAACAGAAAGATGGAGTGTCAGCAGGTGCGGGATGAAGATGGATAGCACAAGCGTTCTCGTGACCAAAAGAAAAACAAAACAAAAAAAAACAAAAACAGTTCCATTGGTTTAATGTTTGTGATTTGCTTTTGGTCAACACACCTCTCCCGCTGCGAAAGGGATGAGGTCAAATCCGCGCGAGGCGATTATCGACATGGGTCGGCAAACGGGCGCATCCAAGAGGAACACATGAAACGGTTTGTTGTGTGTGACCCCCACTGACACCTCCTGCTGGGAGGATGCCGCCGCTTCAGGGGAAAAAAAAAAAAATAACATCTTCCAGGTCCCGTTGATGCTGCGCGAAGCGTGTTTGCGGTGATAACAATGAATTACAATGCAGTGGAGGTGTTTAATTAAAAAAAAAAAAAAAAACAGCATCCCTGAACAGACTGAAATTGAGACATTTATTTTAGAGTGCGCGTTTCTGAGGAGGGGAAGCAGATTGTTGTGGGGCCGTGGGCCAAAGAAAGTCATTATGCTTTCGTGTGAAGGAACATGAAGCTCTGAACCAGGCAATAATTAATTTCTCTTGATTAATTCATAACCCTCAAAGAGAAAATGCCGGCGTATTAAGGAATTGGGCACACGCCGTCGCTGCTGTTCCGCAGACAAAAGCGAGCTGCTTTTTGCAGTACCTGGTCCAAGGGTGACGTCAAAGGCTGCCGTTAACGTACTCAAGATGCTGCAGGGTTCCATGATCGTCTCAAATTTCTGTATTCTCTGTGGCTTAAAAACAACCACTCATTGTCTTTGTGTTTTGGACAAAAAGAGCAATAGAGATGCTTGATTTTCATTGGCAAGCCATATTGTTTTTTCGGGGTGTATCGCAGTAGTCAATATGAACAAAAGCTATGCTAACTAAGCAAAGCAACAATGCTACAGCATCACTGGAAGATTGCACTGACTTACATCATTAATATGCCACAGGACCCCTTGGACGCAGGAAAATGAAGACATTTAGTTCAGAGTGCGCATTTCGGAGGAAGGAGATTGTTGCGGGACCATGGGCCAAAGAAAGTCGTTATATTTTAGTGTGAAGCAACATGGGGCTCTGATGCAGGCAATAATTAATTTGTCAGTGATTAGTACGCGACAAAATTCAAACACGTGTAAGAAGTGTTTTTGTTTTGTCGTTTTAATTCTAAACGTGATTGATGCTTTTCAATGGACTGAAGCAGGTAGTACAGGGTGTTCAGAATGTCATTGTGAACTTGTATTTTTTATTATTATTATTTTTATTTTTTTTTTTTGATGAACATGTTTCAATACAGATTATGTAATGGATTTTATATTGACACATGTCTGTAGAAGACACCAGTATGGTATCAGTACTACACAAATCTGTTTTTTGTTTGGTTTTGGGGTTTTTTTGGCGGGGGTGATGAATCTGTTCCAAAATGTGTCCTGAAAGTGCATCTAAAGAAAACAAAGGCAGTATTTCCCATAGGAAATAATGTCAGTCCAATTAATCCGTTCCAGACAACTCAAAATATTCACAAAGACTACATTTTATTGACAGTGAATAGAATTTAACAGACAGCAAACAATTTGAAATATAGATGACTAACATAATGGATAAATGAACATTAAAGATAACTTTTATCTTTTTGAAGACAAGATGGTGGAGAGGTTTTTTTTTTTGAAAGGGGAATCTGACATTTTCGTACATTGCTACGATTTCTTACTTGATTTTTCCCATCTTCTTTAACAAAGGGCTGGCACGTGGAACTTTCTTTGCACCAATTTCTTCTATATGAAAACTGAGTGACGTATGAACTGGAACAAAAGTTTGGCAAAAAAATCCAAACAAATGAACAAAAAAAAAAAAAAAATCCTATTTTTGTTGTTCAGCCTTTTGAGTCAGCTCCCCAACTCCAAACCTGATTAAAGGTCAAACCGTTCTTTCCAAGCCTTGTTTCTTTCTGAAGATCAACCTTTTCCATGGAACACATTTTTTTCTCCGCCGCCATCGCGCGCAGCCAGATGCGTCCCTCGCAATGTTTTCACCAAAGTTTTGACAGATGGGTGGGACTGAGGCGAACTCACGTTAGCATACGCTTAGGCGGGACACTAATTCCCATATCTGAACACAGGCATGCTGTTTACATAACATACTGAGGGGAGTTATCACACACACACACACACACACACACACACACACACACACACACACACACAGAGCACGCGCTCCTTATAAAATACACATTTCTTCAGCGTCGGGAGTGCCATCAGCTCGAGTTAATCAGTGAGTCGTAGTGAATAAATAAAACAAGGGTGTAAAACATGCAAGGTTACACTGTTCATACCCGACAAGTTGTTTTATTCCTTATGAACACATTTGCGCAATGATGAAGCCAAATGTCGATTGTGGCCGTGGCATTCACTCACGTCACTGTAATAGAATATCAAATTAAATCCCTGGGCCAAAATCTCTTCAGTCACATTTACATATATTTGCATGCGAAATTGGCTTAAATGTAGAGAATTGAGCATATCTGTTGTGTGCGACAAAATTAGCAGCGCCAAATTGAAGCCTCCAAGAACAAAATGTGCAGCTTCGCCGGTTGGTGATGTTGAGTCATTTTTCTTCTCTGGTCAAAACGCTTTTTGAAATGTTGGACTTTTTTCAAAGGTAAAATCATGGTGGAGAAAAAAAAATATATATATATATATATATATATA